GACTATGGCCCCGAGCTGCCCTTCAGATCTGGAATTGAACCCACACCTGTGGTTTCCAGCCAAACAAAAGACAGGCATATGGGTTGAACATTTACCTCAAACAGATACACTCCGTGGAGAGAACAATCATGGGAGAAAGAAGGGCTGCTTACGTACAGGGAGACAGCTCAAGGGGCAGGAGTGCATGGAGGGATGGACACAGGAAAGTGATAACTAAGCGGAGGAAGTGGAAGGGGAAGGGGAGATGTTGCATTGTGGTAAACTGTCGTCACTGTCATGAGACAAAGTATATGTGAACCACTGTATGGAAAGTGAATTTGCTCTTTAAACCTTCACCTAAATCACAATGAAAAAATAATAATAATTCAGTGACATTTTATTTTTTGGAACAGTAATTCATTTTATTCAGTCAACAGTTAGTGACCCATTTCTTCCTGAGTAATGTGCAATCAATCTTAATACCCAATGTTGAGTATACAAGGAAATAGGCACTCTCACATAACATTGATGGGAATGTTAATTACCATTTTGGTGAACAAATTAGCAGTATCTATTAAAATGAAAACACAAAATCTCTTCAACTCAGCAGTTCCACTGCTGGTGATCTACTCTAAAGAAACACTAAAACACTAAATCAAAAAATTTTTTACTACAATACTGTTTGTAATAGCAGAAAGAAAGAAAAGAAAAAAAAACACCTGGAAACAACATAAGCGACCATCGATAGAATAATTAAATTTATTACGATAAATCTATTCTATGGAATATTAAGCTGAATATTACTATAATAATGAGATAGAGGTAAATGTAATGTTAAGAATAGGTCAGGAGAGGAACTTTCAAGAAGAATTTCTGCTTAGTGTGTACTGTTTGAATTTCCATAACAAAAAAATGCATGCATTACTCAATTTTTTTTTTTTTTTAAAGAGAAACGATTCAACTTCAATACAAAACGACAACTGCTATCACTAAGGAAGTACTTACTTCATCAATAAATGCTGGTTCCGGCTCTGGCTCTATTGTCTCTACCTGAACATCATCACTAAATTGTACCGTCTTCTTCTCTGTTTTAACTGGAAAATATACAACATTTATCTTTTCCTTAAAATTCTGTCAAGATTTCTTAAATTCTTCTTCTAAAGACTTTACATTTTTTTCATAATAGGTAATTCACTAAATATAAAGGTAAAATTTCTAAAACAAAAATTATTACGTACCATGTATCAGAGTATAGTAAATTAGTGGACAAATAGCAGAATTTTACAACGGCAAAATAAAAAAATAAACACTCTTTCTAAATCACTGGTCTTTCAAATAAAAATCTCATTTGATAAAAAAAATCATGCTACTTTAAGTAATAAACTAGAATATTAGTATTGTATTTCCTGGACATCACTGATAAGACTTTTTAGGATGAGAACACAGAGGCCAGTGGAGAACTTTCCAAGTGGCTTTGGCAGGGATCTGAATTTTCCACTAAACCAGCCTGCATTTTCTAGTTAATACTGTACTTTGGAATGAAAAAGTGGTTTATTAAAGGATCAATAAACCACTGACCTTCGAGATTGCTCATCACACCAACCTTTAAATATTATTTAATATAAATATTAAGTGAATAATATAAGATTATTATTAATATAGCAATTAACTTTCTCCAAAATAATACTGAGAGGCATATACAGCTTTAAAGGAATGAACTTGCTTTCTGGGTAAAGACTATACTTTTCATCCTTGTACTAATGTGGTCAGTATTCATGAAAATATTGCTAAAATTCAAGATGGAAAGGGAGAGAGGAAAGAAGAATTAAGGTAGGGAAATAATATTCACTGATCCTCGGAAGGAAGATGGGGCAATCTACTTCCGTAGCGATACTGCCTCGGAAACCCAAGGAGGGGTAGCTATGAGTCGGGTCCGACTCAACAGCAGGTAACAACAACAACAAATACGCCTGAGGGTGTATTACATTTCCCCAGTGAGTTACAAAACAATCCTATGAGATATATATTTTAAATGAAGTTAACAGTGCCTTAAAGCCCTCTGTCATCAAGTCGATTCCAACTCATAGTGAGCCCCACAGGGTTTCCAAGGCTGTAAATCTTCACAGGAGCAGACTGCCTCATCTTTCTCCTGCAGAGCAGCCGGTATGTTCAAACCACTGACCATTTGGTTAAGAGCCAACTGCCAGAACCACAGTGCCACCAGAACTCTAACAGTGCCTTCCAGAAACCAAACTCACTGCCATCATGTCAATTACGACTCATAGCAACCTCCATTGGGTTTTCAAAAGATGTAAATCTTTACAGAAGCAGACTGCCTCATCTTTCTCTGCGGAGCAACTAGTAGGTCTGAACTATCAAACTTTTGGGTGAGCAGCCAAATGCCTTACTACTACACCACCAGAGCTCCTTACCTGTGCCTTAGGAAAATTAAAAATTCTTACACAAGAGATAGCTAATAGATGGCAAAGCCTGGATTTGAATGTCTACCTGGCTCTAGTGGCCCAAACTATTGGAATCTGGCCTGTGATTTCACTTGGAGAACAAGAGGTCATATCACTTATCTATACTGTGTTGTGTGCTTCCTTATAAAGTGAAAATATTTTAATTTCCAATATAAGGAATATATTCATCCCAGTCAACTCATCATAAGCAAAAAGCTACATACCAAAACAAGTTTCAGGTGATTTCATTTTCTGTGGAGGGAAAAGAGGCATCTGCTACAGACCATATGTGCTCTTTGTATCTTGAGCTACTAACAAATACAAAGATGGGATAGCACTGCATTGGGTGCTACCCATCAGAGAACACATGGCCAACTTCCTCTCCTAACAGCTGACTATGCATAAATTTGCAACCCTTTTTCTTACAGGGACTAATATTATCAACATGTATTTATATATATATATATATAAAATATGATTTTTGTATTGATATAAATAAATCTATACAATATTTATATTAAATTTTTATTAATAAAATATATTTATAAACTATATTAATCTTCCCTTGCACTCCAAACAGTTTTTCACGAAAATTTTAAAAATTAGTAATACAAATTTTCACTTAAACAAAACCACACTCATTAGGGCATGTATTACTATTTGGCAAGTTAAGGACTCATGCTAGCATTTTTCCAATCTTGAGAAATATAACCCCGTTACATAAATTTACACTAGTATATCTCTTTTAGATGATTCAATGTAAAATATATGAGAAGAACTAGAACAATCAAATTGAAACTGCATTTCTGTATGATGAGAAAAATAAGACATGAGGTCTTGGACTTCATCTTGAACCAAAGTGAACTGCATCCTTTCCAACAGCTGATCAGAACCGAAAAAGAAAGAAACACCATTACCACCCCAGGTTAAAAAGGTGACACACTGTGCACTACCACTCAAGCAAGGTTCTGTAACATGTTTTTAACTTCTAACAAGAACTTCATTAAAAGAATAGGTATCAAGAATCTATCTCTACAAAAGACAACATGAGACATACTGGCAATAACTATGAGAAGGTATCATTTTATTATAAACCTGTAATCTCTGGTTTGTTGTTACACGCTTCTCTTGAAAGAGGAGTGCTCTTATGTTTTTAAAGAAAAATTATCCTTTTACTGCTACACATACATTCATAAATCCCTCATGCTATAAATATTTGAGCTGTAAGTATTCTGGGTAACAATTCAGTATTGCTAGATAAAAACATGACTAAAACAAGGACTCTTTTCTCAAATTTTTATAAACTAAAAAAGACCTAACCATCTTTTGGTTTAAAATTTCTATTGTTCATTTCCATCTGGTACCACAGAAAGAGGAGATACTTTGCCAATTTATATGCAAAATATCTTTAAAACTTAACATTTTAATTCTAGAATTAAGCATGTTTGTTTTCTTAAACAGAGAGAGATTATGACAAACATTTCTTGATGACTCAAAGCCATCATTCTGAAGATTCTTTAAAGTACTGTATTATATAGATACATGGTAACCTGTCCAATACTTTTCGGCTATTTAAAGTTACATCTCCTACAACTGCTATTCCTGAACTAACACCACTTTTTCTCCATGGTCTCTCTATTTCATTTCTCCTAGATGGCAAAAACTTAGAAATCAAACAAAAAAAAATGATGTATATGATTAGTTAGTAAGGCTGCTTGTGAATATCTGACGTGGGGACTTAGAAAAGCTATTATGTTGCTTGGAAGCTACTGCTTCCAAGTTTGGGGCTATATCCTAGAAAAAATGTTCCCAATTTTTGAAGACAAAGAATCCTCTTTGAAGTTACATTATATTTGTCACATTTTTATCAGCTGAAAATAAGGAAAATACGTAATATATGAATTCCATAACACTTTTAAAGTCCAGATTATAGATAATATTAGGAGACAGATAATCTCTAGTAAATAATCTACTCCTTAGGCAGCTGCATTTTTTAAGAACTAACGTGTACAAGTCACTGCTCTGGAAAGTTAAGCTTAGTCAACTTTCAATAAGAGAAGGATTATAGATTATCATCCACTGACATACTGAAAAATACTTACTCATTTCTGGTTCAGCAGTGAGATCCGCAGTCACAAAATTAGAGGGAAATAACCCCATGCCTTGATGGGTTTCACCTTTCCACCAGTTGGGATCACTATGATGAATAAAAAAGAATGCTTTACTATAATAAAGACTTTTACCTCTATACACCTTTATTTTCTATACTGTTAAACTTACATTACCAGATCTGAATCTCACAATAATCCAGTGAAGGAGGCCATGAATGTATCTTTATTACAAGTAAGAAATGGGGCCTCAAAAAAGGTATGAAGAGGTTAAACAAAAAGTTTTTTATCTTCTGTTTTTTTAACTTTCTATTGTGATTTGGGTGAAAGTTTACAGAATAAATTTATTTCCCATTCCATAGTTCATACACAGTTTGTTTTGTGACATTCACTGAAATCCCTACATTGTAACAACTCTCTTCCCATTTCCTCCCTGTGGTTGCCTTTTCCCTATGTCTCTTTTTGTATCTCTTGTGCACCTCTCCATGTCTTCCTTGTCCTTAATGATACTGTGCTTGTCACTTGCTTTTGGTATACTGCCTCTCCCTTCACCCAAATCATTATATATTATATGTCCCTTACTTAGCTAACATTATTCCCTGTCCTCCCCTCCAACCCCTGATAACCAATAAAGTTTCCTTCCATGTGTAAATCTTTCCTTGACTTTTTGTAACACTGGACTCATAGTACTTGTGACTGACTTATTTCACTCAGCATAATCTCTTCCAAGTCCATTCATGTTGTGAGGTGTTTTGCAGATTCATTTTTCTTTACTGTTACATAATGTTCTATTGTATGTATGTACTACAGTTGAGTTATCCATTAATCCATTGATGGACACTGAGGTCGTGTCCATCTCTTTGCCATTGTGAATAGTGCTGCGATGAACATGGGTGTGTATATATCTGTGTATCCGATTTCACCTCTTTAGGATATATTCCTAGAAGTGTGAATTGCTGGGTCAAGTGGTATTTCTATCTCCAACTTTTTAAGGAAACACCATACTGTTTTCCACATTTTACAGTCCCACCAACAGTGTATGATAGTGCCATTCTCTCCAAACCCTCACCAGAATTTGTTGTTTTCTGTCTTGTTGAACTTTGCTATTCTTGCTGGGATGAGTAGTATCTCATTGTTCTTTGGATTTGTATCTCTCTAATGGCTAATGGTTGTGATCATTCCTTCATGTGTTTGTTAGCTGCCTGAATATCCTCTGTGGCAAAGTGTCTGTTCGTGCCCTCTGCCAATTTTTTAATTGGGTTGTTTGTCTTTCTGCTGTTGAGCTGTTGAAGTTTTCAGTAAATTTTATAAAGTATCTTGTCAGACATGTCATTGCCAAATATTTTTTTCCAATCTGTAGGTTCTCATTTTACTTTTGAAAGAGCCTTTTGAAATACATAAGGATATAATTTTTTAGGAGGTCCCAGTCATCTAGTCTGTCTTCTGCTGTCTGTATATCATTGGTGACATCTGATACTCTACATGTGCCATAAAGTAGGGCTCCTGAGTTTGCTTCTATTTTTTTCTTTGATGAACTTTATAGTTTGGTCTTTGATGCATCTTGAGTTTGTTTATGTGTATGGTGTAAGGTATGGATCTTGTTTCATTTGTCTGCAAATGGATATCCAACATCATTTGTTAAAAAGACTATCTCCTTCCCCATTTAATGGATTTTGGCCCTTTGTCAAAGGTTAGCTGACCGTAAGTGGATTCATCTATTTCTGGGGTCTTTACTGTGTTCCACTGGTCTGTGTCTCTCGTCTTACCAACACCAGGCTGTTTTGACTACTGTGGCTATATGGTAGGTTTTGAGATCTTGGAGTGTGAGACCTCCTCCTTTCTTCTTCTTTTTCAGTAGTGCTTTGCTTATTTGAGGTCTCTTTACTTTCCATATAAATTTAGTCATTGGTTTGTCCATGTCCTTAAAGAATGTTGATGGAATCTGGATTGGGATTGCACTGAATCTATAGATTACTTTGGGTAGTACTGACATTTTCACAATGTTCAGTCTTCCATATCATAAGCATGTTATGTTCTTCCACTTATGTAGGTCTCTTATAGTTTCTTGCAGTAGTGTTTTATAGTTTTCTTTGTACAGGTCTTTTGTGTCCCTATAAGATTAATTTCTAAGTACTTTATCTTTTTGGTAGCTATTGTAAATGGTGTTTTCCTTATTTCCTTTTCAGAGATGTCTGCTGATATAAAAACCAATTTCTATATGTTGATCTTGTATCCTGACACTATGCTAAATCTTTTCATTAGTTTCAGTAGTTTTCTTGCTGAATCTCTTAGGTTTTCTATATATAGGATCGTATCATCTGCAAACATAGTTTTACCTCTTCTGAGCATTTTCCCTTCCATTACTATTCTGCAGAGAGGTTTTATCAGGAATGGGTGCTAGATTTCATCAAATGCCTTTTCTGCACTGATTGATATGATCATGGAGATCTTTTCCTTTGTTTTATTTATGGGGTAGATTACGTTGTTTTTCTAATGCTAAAACATCTTTGTATGCCTGGTATGAATTCTACTAGGTTATGATGTATTACTTTCTTGATAGGTTGCTGGAGTCTATTGGCTAAGATTTTATTGAAGATTTTTGCATCTATGTTCATGAGAGATATTGGTCTGTAATTTTACTTTACAGTGGTGTCTGTCTGATTTTGGTATCAGTTATGCTTGCTTCATAAAATGAATCTTGGAGTATCCCATCCTTTTCTATATTCTGGAATAGTTGGGTAGAATTTTATCAGTTCTTTTCTGAATGTTTAGTAGAATTCTCCTGTGAAGTGGTATGGGCCAGAGCTCTATTTGTTGGTAGTTTTTTTTTTTTTTTAATTACCTGTTCAATTTCTTCTTCTGTTATAGGTCTCTTCAACTTTTCTGCCTGAGTTTATGTTAGTTTAGGTAGGTTATATGTTTCTAGACATTTAACCATCTCTTCTAGGTCTTCAAGTTTGTTGGTGTACATTCTCCACAGTATACTGTTATTATCTTTTTTATTTCCGTTTGTTCTGTTGTGATGTCACCCATTTCATTTCTTATTCGGGTTATCTGCACCTTCTTTTCTTTTCCTTAAACTTGCCAGTGGTTTGTTAATTTTGTTAAACTTATCAAAGAACCAGCTTCTAGTCTTAATTTTTTCTATTGTTTCTCTCTTTTCTATTTTGTTTATTTCTTCTCTAGTCTTTATTACTTCCTTTCTTCTAGACTCTATAGGCTTCTTTTATTGCTCTTTTCCTAAACGTTAAAGAGCTTTTGGGTTGAGGCACTGGTTTTGGTTCCTTTTTTTTTTTTTTTTGGTGTATGCATGTATTGCTATAAATTGACCAGTGAATACTGCTTTCACAGTGTCCCAAACGTTTTGGTATGCTGTGTTTTCATTTTCATTTGTTTCTAGGAATTTTTATTTCACATTTTATTACTTGTGTTTCCCAGGAATTTTGAGTAGAGCGTTAACTCAGTTTCTATGCATTTGAGTTTTTGTCCCTGATCTTCCTATTACTAATTTCTAATTTCATAGTACTGTGATATGAGAAGATGCTTTGTGGTATTTCAATGTTTTTAAATTTATTAAGGCTTGTTTTGTGGCCTAACATATGGTCTATTCTGGAGAATGATCCATGTTCACTACAAAAGAATGAGTATTGCCATCCTACTTTGGCAAGTAGCAACTGGAATCTCAAAAGCCTGCAAGCAGTCATCTAAATGCATTGACGGGTCTCTCCTTGTCCAGAGCAAAGAAGAACAAAGAAAACCAAAGATGTATGGTAACAATTAGTCCAAGCAACGGGTATACCATGCAATCCTCAGCCTATACGACTATGAGACCAGAAAAACTAGATGGTGTCTGGCTACTACTGTCAACCACTCTGAGGGGGACCTCTGTAGGAGATCCTGGATAGAGTGGGACAACAATGTGTAACAAAATTTAAAATCTTTAACAAAAAAAAAAAGGGGACCTGGTTTGCTGGTCTGATAGAGCCTGCTGGAACCTCTGAGACTATGGCCCCTAGCTGCCATTCAGGTCTGGAACTGAACTCATTCCTGTGGCCTCCAGCCAAACAAAAGACATATGAGCTGAACATTTACATTAGATAGATACACTCCTTGCAGAGAACAATCATGGGAGAATAGAAGGGCTGTGTATGCATAGGGAGACAGCACAGGAGTCAGAAGTGCAAGGAAGGAAGGACAAAGAGAAGAGGTAACTATGGGGAGGAAGTGGCAGGAGAGTTGTTGCACTGGGAAACTGCACTCAATGTCATAAGGCAAAGTGTACATTAGCTGCTGTATGCAAAGTGAATCTGCTCTATAAACTTTCACCCAAATCACACACATACACACACACACACACAAAAGAATGTGTATTGCTCTTTTGTTGGGTAAAGTGTTCAGTATGTGTCTGTGATGTCAAGCTGCCTGTGTTGAGATTTTTGGTATGTTTGTTGAGTTTCTAATTGTTCTGTCCTTCATTAGAAGTGGTGTGTTAAAGTCTTCTACTATTATTGTAGAACTATCTGTTTCTTCTTTCAGTTCAGCTAATGTGTGTTTTATGTATTTGGGAGCTCTCTCATTGGGTTCACTGGTATTTATTATGGTTATGCCCTCTAGATGGATTGGCCCATTTATTATTATATAATATCCTTCCTTGTCCTTTAGGTGGCTTTCACCTTAAGGTCTGCTTTATCAGAAATTATTATTGCCACTTTTTTCCTTTTTTAGTTGTCACTAGCTTAATATATTTTTTCCATCCCTTAATTTTTATTTTTATCTTTGTGTATAAGGTGAGACTCTTGTAGGCAACATATTGATGAGTCATGCTTTCTTATCCCATCTGCCACTCTCTTTCTCTTGACTGGTATGTTTAATTCATTTACATTCATTGTGGTTAATAATAGGTATGAATTTTTTGCTGTCATTCTTTTGTGGGTTTTGTTGCAGTGTAGATAATTTTTGTTCTGAACATTATTCTGTGCTGAGTTCATTTTGTTATCAAGTTTTCTTTCCCTTTTCTGCACTGTTGTTGATTTTGTGTTTACTAAATCCTTCTGATTTTCTTCTTTTATTTTGGTTAGAAGGCTTATTAATATTCTTTGTGGTTACTCTGTAGTAAATTCTTATCTCCCTAAGTTTGGAACAGTCTGCTCTATATTGATAGTGTCCTGACCTCATCTCCATTTGGAAATTTTGTAACTGTACCATTTATTCCCTCTATTTGCTTTGCAGTTGGGACTGCTTATAGACTGACTTCTCTAGTTCTCTATTTTCCATTTATAACCTTATTTTAGTTTGGAGAATTCTTTTTCTGGCTTTGTCTCTGGGTGGTGTTGCCAAGTGTCTTAACCTTACATTGTCCTCCATTGTTGGTGCTCTGTCCAAAGGACTGACTCCCTTTAACATTTCTTACAGGATTGGTCTAGGTTTTACAAATTCTCTTCATTTCTGTTTGTCTGGGAATGTCCTAATTTCACCCCCATATTTGAGGGGCAGTTTTGCTGGATCTATAACTCTTTGTGGGCAATTTTTTCCCTTCAAGGTGTTGTATACATCATCACACTGCCTTCTTGCCTGCATGGTTTCTGCTAAGAAATCAGAGTTTAGTCTAATTAGTTGCCCTTTCTAGGTAACATTTCATTTTTCCTGAGTTGCTTTCAAGATTTTTTTGTCTTTGGTGTAGAAAGTTTCATTATGATATGTCTTGGTGACTTTCTCTTGGGCTCTATCTTAGGTTGAGGTTCTTGGAAATCTTTTTGTCTGTCATGATATTGGGGAAGTATTCTGGTAGCAAGTCTTCAACAATTTTCTCTTTTTTTATTTTTGTTGTTGTTTGTTTTATTTTAACCTCCTCTTATTCTGGAATTCCAATCAGATGTATGTTATTTCTTTTGATATTATACCAAAACCACTCTTAGGTTTTCTTCATTCTTTTTTCCAATTTTCCCTCAAACAAGCTGGTGACAAGTGATTTGTCTTCTAGCTGGGAAATGTGTTCTTCAACCAGTTTGATTCTGTTCTTTGGTTTCCTCTAATGTGTTTTCCATCTCTGTAATTTTAGTGTTTATCTTCTGGATTTCTAATTGGTGTTTCTGTATGATTTCTAGTGTCTATTTATTTTGTCATTTTGTTCTTGTATGATTTTCCCAAATTCTTCACAGGTATTGTCTGTCTTTTTCCTTGCTTCTGTTTATGGTTTCCTTGAGCTCTTGGAAGGTCCTATATACATTTTTTAAATTCCTTATCAGATAGTTCTATTACCTGTTCTTCCTCAGAGAGATTTCCTAGTTCTTTATTTTGGTCACTTGCTTCCACTATCTTATCCTGTTCTTCCTGTGAACTGAAGTTGTCTGTCGTCTCCAACATTTTGACATTCTTGTCTTTGTTGAGTGCTAAGTCTGTCTCATCTTAGTTTTTGTTTTTCTTTGTTTTGATATATCTGGAGGTGTGGGGCAGGCAGCTTCTTAGTTCATTAGTCTGGCAGCACTGGGGTACCTCCCAGCTGTCTCCAGGTTGGCTGAGTAACTGGTGGCAATGGGGGTGTGGGTCTCCGCCATTTGGAGGAGCTGTGGGTGGCACACGTAGGTGTTGTCCACTGTCCGTTGTTGATCCAATGATGCAGGAGCTGTTGGTGGTGTTCTCCCTTTGGGTGAGATGGGTCCATGCAGTCGATAAGGCTGAGTTAATGTCCTCCTCCTTCAATTCCTCTTGTTCTGTCTGCACTGTATTTTTTTTTTTTTATTGCTAAATGTTTCATGAAGTTGCCTTCTCCTCATCCTTGTCTGATGCATCTTTGCTTAAAATAGTGATGTTTTGGGTGGTGTCGGCTTTTTTTCTCTCACCAGTCACTGACCTCATTCTATTTCCCTTTCCAGTCATCATTCCATCTAATTCTTTATCCTCTCAGTTGATGTTCAAACTTCTAGGCTCATTCTTTGTATCTTTTTCATTTGGTTTTCCCAGGTCTCTGTGGCAGAGGGAGTCTGCTGAGTGTGTTAGCAGAAAGCCATCTTGTCTCATAGCTCTGTATCCTTTTGAAGGTTGGCAAACCCTCTAAGAATCTACTATAAAGCTATGAACGGTCTCTCCAAAAATGGCCCCCACACTTAGCAAGCCCTCAACAGAGTACACAAAAGGTTACACCATATGTAGCAGAAAACATTCATAAGTAGTACACTTACAGGGGTTACCCAATGATCACCACTGTATCCACAGTACCTTGAACATGACTAGCAAGCACTGAAAAAATTTTCAAATGAATAAATGTACAGGGCTTTGTGCAATTTCCAGCTAACAAGCTCAAACTTTACCTCAGTTTCCTCCAGTCAAGTAACCTTAAATCTAATTTCTTTTTAAAAATCACTTGCAAAATTTTAGTACTTCATTATTACTAACAATTCATTTCCAATAGAGTTAAGCATCATAAAGCTACAGCAAAAAAAAAAAAGATGATGTGCTATATCACCTCTCCTATGATAATCTAAATGTCTAATTCCAGTTATAATGAATTTGAGCCACAAGTATATACTGTTTTTATATGAGAACTGTTCATAAGAAAATATACAACATATTATGTTTCTTACAAATTCCAAATACATATACATATTCTGTGTATTTTCTAAAATATAACTCTTTTATTAGTTTAACAACTGATATTACTCTTAGATGGAACCAAAACGGAATGGATTAAACTAGGTCTCTGAAACAAAAAACTATTAAACAAAAATTAAAACATTAAATTGCAAAATAAGAATCTAGACAATATAACCCAGGCAAAGCAACCAACTGTCACAAAGAAAATATCTGAGTTAATTTTTTTATTACATCTCATAACTATATTCAACAGAAATAATGTGAAATATGAATGTTCAATTTTCATATGAATATTAATTGTAACCTTTACCTGTCATCAAGAACTGTAATGATTTCTCCAGCTTTAAAAGTAAGTTCATTATCTTCAGCAGCTTCAAAGTCATATATAGCACGAACTTTTCGACCTTCATGTTGATGGTTAGTTAAGAGACTGGATGTGCTTGGATATAAACTGGAAAGTGTAGCTGTCTGTTGTCTTTGTTCCTTCAGAGACAACTCAATAGCTGAAAAACAATGGGTTTTAAAAGAACCAAAAAGTTAATATACCCAATAATCCAAAGAAGTAAAAAAAGATATCTGAAGATAACTCAAAGACTTTAAAAGGATTTTCATTAATCTTGATAGAGATTAAGATATATCCTAATATAATGTACTTCTAAAAGTCACGTTGTCAATTTTATTCATTCATTTATAATTGAAAATTTAAAATAAATAAACAAAAAAGTTGCACAGTATGAAGATTCTTATTTTCATTGAAAGGATACATTTCAAATTATTCTATTCTGTGTAATAAAAAGATGCAAACTCAAGATACTTGAGTTTATAAAATTTACCTGCTGATATATTTTCTTCCAACTTTTTAATGTATTCCTGTAGCTTAAGTTCCCAAAATGATAATCAAAATCACTGGGGAAGTCACTGTTCTAAGCCTCGTTGCAGACTTATTTAAAAAAAAAAAAAATTAGAAAAAAATACAGGAAAATATCTTTTGAGACCTTCAGGTAGGGAAAAATATCTCAAACAAGATACAAAAGCAAAACTCACAACAGAAAAGCAAAAATTTTAACTATACCAAAATTCAAAACTTCCGTTTGATAAAACACACCACTATCAAAGTATAAGCCAAAAGCCAGGAAAAGATATCTACAATAGATTTAATAGGCAAAGAGCACTATCTAATATAAAGATTTTCTAGACGACTCGGGAAAAAAAGCAATTCACCAAAGAGGAAACCATAACAGTAAATAAACATAAAAAAGTATTCAGCTTCACTAGTAATGAAAATAAAAATAATTAGACGCGATTTCAAACCTATCACGTTCATAAAAGTTAAACTCTGACAATACCAAATGGTGGCAAAAAAAAAAAAACCCAAACCCACTACCACTGAGTTGATTCCAACTCCTAGCAACTGTATAGGGCAGAGTAGACCTGCTCCATAGAGTTTCCAAAGCTATAAATCTTTACAGAAGCAGACTACGTCATCTTTCTTCCACAGAGCAGCTGGTAGGCTCAAACCACTGACCTTTTATTAGCAACCAAACCACTAAGCTACCAGGGCTCATCTAATGGTTATAAGATTGGGGGGGGGGGGGGTGGAAGCCTTCACAGGATATGGAAAAAATCATATAACCACTAAGCAAAGTTGAAGATGTACCTAGCTTATGATCTAACAAATACTACAGTAGAAAAAGTCACTTATATGTACATAAGAGAACATAAATAAGAATACTCACTGCAACAGAAGGACAAATATTGTAGTAGTCCGTTATTGTTAGAGGGAACACTGTTAGATAGGTAGAGACAAGTATTGCTTTGGGTGAAGGGAAGGGCAATGTACCAAATGTGAGTGATCAACACAGTGGCACTGAGGAAGAGGAAGACATAAAGAGGTTCATGGGAGGTAGACAACAAAGATGAACTCTTTTACACATACTGTGTAATACTGTGTTGTCTATGAAGCCAAACAATGATATATGGGCAGATAGATGGGTGAACAGGCTGAACTATTAGGTATGTCTATGCAGGGAAGAGTGAGCCCAAGACCATGCACAGGGTTGGCAGACAATGTTTCACTGTATTTCAGACATTTATTTGTATATTCTGTAAGAACTCCCAGATATATAGTAGAGCTGACAAGGGGCAAGGTTGTAGTCACTTCTTGGCCACAGTCAACTACCCAGAGGGAGCAAGTAGTTGGACCTGTGGGCTTGGGACCATAGTCACAAAGGACATCAAGATCAATTGGCATAACATACTACACAGAAACACTGTTCCATATCCTCCTTTGGCGAGTAGTGACTGGGATCTGAAAAGCTTGCAAGCAACCATCTAGATGCAATGATGGATCTCTCCTCATCCAAAGCAAGTAAGAATGAAGAAAACCAAAGATGCATGGAAACAATTAATCCAAGCGACTGGTACACACCATGGGATCCTCAGTCTATAATACTATGAGACCAGAAGGACCAGATGGTGTCCAGCTACCACTGTTAACCATTCGGAAGGGGAATCTATATAGGAGATCCCGGATAGAGTGGGAAAACAATGTGAAACAAAACTTAAAATCATTAAACAAAAAAGAAAAAAGGACCAAGTATGCTGGTCTAATAGAGCCAGATGGCACCACTGAGACTACAGACCCTGGTTGGCCTTCAGGTCTGAAATTGAACCCACTCCTGCGGCTTCCAGCCTAACAAAAGACAGGCATATAACTTGAACATTTATATTAGGGAGATACACTCCTTGGAGAGATCAATCATGGGGGAATGGAAGGGCTGTGTATGTACAAGGAAGCAGCTCAGGGGGCAGGAGTGCATAGGAGGGAAGGATACAGGGAAGAGGTGGTAATGGGGAAGATGTGGGAGAGGAGCTGTTGCATTGTAAGAAATTACAGTCAACGTCATGAGACAGAGTGTATGTGAACTGCTGTATGGAAAGTGAATTTGCTCTGTAAACTTTCACCCAAATCACAATAAAAATTAAAAAAAAAAAATACTCACTACCACATTATCTGTTAAAGTAAAAATATTATGAAAACACAGACTGAAAGGATACTTATGATCATGTTTGTATCTACAGAAGAGAGGAAGAAAATGACACTGAGGAGGGGAACAACGCAGATTTCAGCTTTGGCTGTAAAGTTCTTAAACTATTTCTAAATGTCTCAAAATAAAATAATTATTAAATCAGAGACAAGTAGCTTATTTTCACCATTAGGAACTTAATATACATACCTTTTGCTAAATCTTCTTCTTCCTTTTTGTTAGCAACAGTTTCAGGATCTTTGGCTACTAGAGCAGGGCTTGCTTTTGCTTGTTCTGCAGCCTAGCACAAAGAAAGGGATATAATATTTAAGAGCTGTTCTCCAATTTTCCTATCCCTCACTCATAGGGGTTGGGAGAGGAAAAGAGATGACTATTCTAAAAATTAGGAGCTCTGGTGGCATAGTGCCTAAGGCATTTGACTGCTACCCAGAAGGCTGGTGGTTCACACCCACTAGCCAATCCTCAGAAGGAAGACTGGGAGATCTACTTCTGTAGAGATACTGCCTCGGAAACCCAAGGAAGGGTCGCTGTGAGTTGGGATCACCTCAGCAGCAGTGAATAAGGAAAGGTAGGTATTATAAAAACAAATTGTTTCTATTTTTTTATATATTCAATAGTTCCACTGTTTCAACTCACCAGTCAATAAACAGCTATCTCATTTTCCCTATGATAAACTCCCAACTGTTTTACCCAACCATTCCCTCCTCTATGTTCCTCTGACACTTTTAAACAAGGTACTATCTATCATATGGGTGATTTAAGAATGCAGCCTTGAAGTTAGACAGACATGGGTTCAAATCCCAGATCCCATACTTTTCAGGTGTATAACCTGGCATACATTAACCTTGCTGCGCCTCAGTTCCTAATCTATTAAGTAAGAATAATGGCACCTACATTTCACAGGCTCTTGAGAGGATTAAACTGATACATGTCACTTCCAAAATCAGATGAAATGGGACCTATTCATTATTTAAAACAAAAGTATAACACTGTCTCATGGGGTTTATCATGTATACAGATATAATACTGATGACAACTACAATATAAAGGAAGTTGGAATACAGCATAAATGAACCTATACAGGTGCAAGATTTTGACATTATACATGATATTTAACTCAAAGCAAACTGCAAAAAGTAAAGAATGTATGTGCAATCCCAAGAGCAATCAATTAAAAAAAATAGTATTTTAAAAAATATCCAAATTACCGAATACACAGTGCTTAGAAAAGGCACATAGTAACTGACAATAAATTTCAGTTTCTATTATAAAATAGAAACTGAATGCTCCTTGAGGGCAAGGGCCATGTGCCTAAATGTAACAAGCAATCAATAAATGTTTGTTGAGTGAATGGGAGGCAAACTACTCAACATTATAGTACAATAAAGTTCTATATTGTTTTCTCAGTACACGTCATAATTAAAAAAAAAATCCTAAGAAAAAAAACTTCAGATTTCACAGAAAATAACTTTAATCTCTCTCAATTGTTATTCATCACTAGTTCTAATCTTGTTCAGTTAAACAACGTTTTAATCATTATACAACTCTGAAAACTGAAGGCATGCTTGGTCAAAAACCACCTTTTTCATTATTTATGAAATTTTTTTTTCTTCATTTAGTGATTCTCACAATGTAAATATATCGACCTTCTGCAGAAAAATCTCAATCAGCCCAAAAGCAAGCTACATTAAGTCCAGCATTCTTGAACTGCACATCTTTTGAAGTTCCTTTCTATCATCAGGTTTAAGTACAAATAGTATTCATTTTACTAAGTAGTCAGATTCAGTAGTAGCACTAGCTAGCATTAGATCTCTCTCTACCATCAAACACTAGTGCTAACAGAACTGTAATAGCATGAGTTAAATGACTGAAGCATGACTTTTCTTAGCATTTTTACATTATGTCCTTCAATACTTTCATTGAAAAATAGATACTTACAAAAATATTTCTATTTTTAGGGTTTTTCTTGTTAAGTATGCTCCAAAAAAAATCTCATCTGATTAAAATATAATAGTGATTGAACTAATCATCTTTAAAATCTAGGAGTTCTGTAAGTTGAACCTAAAAAAACAAAAATAAAATACCCCATTGACCTTGTGTCGATTCCAACTCATAATGACCCCCACTAGGTTTTTACCCCACGAGGTAAATCTTTACAGAAGTAGACTGCCCCATCTTCCTTCTGTGGAGCGGTTGGTGGGTTTGAACCGCTGGTTAGCAGCCAAATGCCTTAAGGGATGTACCACCAGAACTGTTTCAGTTGAACCTAGGTGATACATTTTTTTCACCAAACACAGAGCTCTTTTCACATATTTTCCAGTGATAAGTCTGTCAGAAAAAAAAAAATCTACTACATCACATTTTACTTTACCTACATTTTATACACTTCTTATAGCTGAAAAATAACAACTATGATAAAATGATCTTTTACATACTTTATAACATCAAACTGAAGAGAAGAAAAGTAATTTAATTTTTATTATTACTTTCCTATGTCTTGAATCTGTGGAACAAGAAAGTACCTAATTTCTCTACCAATCAATAAGTAAATGCTCTTGCCAGTGTTCACTCCACTTCTTGTCCTTGAAGCCTAGTCCGGACAGACACATATCCACTAACCTCTATATCAAACAGAAGGCAGGATCGTGTAGTGGAAAGAACACTGAACTGAGAGTCAGGATGCCTGTGTTCTAGTTCCAGCTCTGTCAACTACTAGCTGTGGCCCTGGGCAAGTCATTTAACCATTCTGGGTCTCAGTTTCCTCATCTGTAAAATGAGGGGATTAAATTAGAGGATCCCTCAAGTTTTTCTTGTAGCTGTCTAAAGATTTTCGGTTAACCAAACTGCCCTACATAACAAATAACTAATTCTTCTTCCTTTTCTTAGAAGAATCACTTCCTTTATGAACTGAAATGCAAATGTTCACCTGCATGGAAAGCTATAGTCAAGAGCAAACTTTAATGTGCATACAAAACCACCTGGGGATCTTGTTGATATGGAGATAATGAATCCACCGCTTTGGAGTGGCACCTAAGATGATGCTTTCTAACAAGTGTCCTGATGACACCAAAGAGGCTGGTCAACGAACCACACATCGAGTATTAAGGTTCCAAGGGTACAGAAGTTGCACACTTACACTCTTTGGGTATCTGGATTAAGTCTAATCTTTGATAACTAAACATAGCTTCCATTGTAAGTCAGGAACTTAGAAGATAGCTCGGATTATTATGTACAAAATTATTCCCTAATTATACAGATTTTAGAAATTATTCTAGGAGTAGAAATGCCAATCATAAATTGTGAATGTATACTTCTCAAAGCTGGTAAGAAACATGAGGCAATCTACTTCCATAGTGTTACTGCCTCGAAAACCCAATGAGGGGTCGCTATGAATTGGGTCTGACTCGACAGCACGTAACAACAACAACTTCTCAAAGATGTAATTCATCAGTCTTAAACTACTCAAATATCAAATTTTCTCTAGTGAGAAAAAAAAAAAATGTATTTTTCTTCCTTTCCAAACATTTATCTCTGGGTCTTCCCATCTTTAGAGCACTCACACACACTGAAAACACTTTAGGAAGATAATCAACATGTGTAGTAGTCGAAACTCCCAAATTCGAGCCCCTCCACAGTTGAGAATTTTTTATTTATGGTTTCACACCGCTCACTATATTCTGCCCCTATCCAAAAAGAAGGTAATTTACTACATACTGTAGTACCCCTGGAGTCACTAAGCATTCTAAAGACTGGTTACCCAGAAAGGAAATAAAAAAGACAACCCTAGTTTTTTTTTTTTTTTTTTCTATACTGTACATTGGAGATTGAGTCCACTAGGTAAATAACCTTTTTATCAACTATAAATATAATGGATGAAAGATAAGAAGCCTCTCTAGTCAATCACAGATGTTGGGGGAAATAACCAGTTAGCTACTACTAAAGAAAAAAGTGTTTCATGTGTTTCTCTTCCCTTTGACCTTTTTTCATCCCCTTCCTATTTTTCAACAGGTATTCAAAAATTCCCTAGTCAAGAGACCCTCTAAACTTATCCCTAAATTTTAAGAATCGCCTTATTTTTGAGCTGCAATTCTCTATATATGAAATTATAGCATTAAGACTGCCAGTGTTGCTTGATACAATAAAGCAATTATTGTTTACATTAATAAAACCATATATAAAATTTTAAAACTATAATAAAGTTAACTTAAAACAAATGTTAAACTAACGCATTTATAAAGAGGGAGAAATAGTGGAAAAAATGGAGACTGAAACACACTAATATTCTACTATTATATTTTTCTGGTCCCTTTGAAGACAAAATTATTATTATTAATAAAATTCCTCTGAAGTAGTAATTTTACTTACAAAAAACCACCTAAATTTGAAGGAAAAATTCAAACAAACATGACCATTTTAGAGAAACTAATGTGACACACACACAATTTTACAGAATACCTGAGAGCCAACAGCTGGAAAAGTAACTCCTTGTTCCTTAAGGTTCTTAATCATTGCTGATATTAAACTAAGCTGTGGGTCGTTTTTAAATTCATCTGTCCATTCAACCATAAGAGCTTTTAATTTTTCACATACTTTAGGATGACCCTAAGGATTAGAAAAAACGTTAATGAGAAAGTACCAATTTCCTATCTCATGACCTAATACAGATACTTTAAAAATAAAAATGATACAGTGTTGTAGTACATCTCTCTTTACATCACAAACTACCCCTAGTAGTAGATGAACCACTTGAAATAAGTAAACATGGTTAAAAAATGAACTAAAATTATTGACACTGTGATAAAATAACAGGAGACAGTACCATGCATGCCTGACTTCAAAATTTAAACAGATTAAATAACTTCTTTTGAAGAACATAGAAGTAGGACTTTTCCAAGTATTATTAAGTCCTTAAGCAAGCTTTGTAGATCAGGAAGACAAAGAAAAATAGATTTCTGTTTTATTTTTTGAGGCCAATTTAAACAATTTCTTGGAAGGAGAGAATAAAAGGGACAGTTCCTTTAAACCTAATTCCTAACTTTTAATGTTCGTTAATGGGTGTTTTCCCCAAGTTGCTTAATTATCTGAAGACTGATATGTTTGAGGCTCACTGCTTGTTAAAGCACCTGGGCACTTCATTTCTTCAAAATAACTTTTCCTCCCTCAACTGTAAAGCCCACATTTTCACTGTAAAACACATGCAAAATAAAGAACACTCCTTTCTCCTATATACAGTTGGTGCTTAAAAATATTTGTACACATAACTATATAATCAAGTTTATAGTCTACATTTTCATTTAAGTTATAAAAAAATATTAGAATCTCTTCATAAATACTTGAACATTTTGCTAGACATACAGGATATTAAAGAATGTTTTTAATTAATAAATATTATGTATAACTAAATACTCAGTTATTCAAGGAAAAGAAAATTAATATATAATCATGTTTCAAAAGATGTACAGAATTTTAAATTCTTATCACATTTCTTAACCACTTTTTTCTACTGAGCCCTGAAAATACTTATTTTCCCTGAAAAACAGGACACATTTTCCCTTTTTCCACTTTAACTTTTTTTCTTGAAATATAATACAAAAAGAAATAAAAACCATTAGAATGCACAGATTTTTTACTGGGGAAGCTCATATATTATTTGCTACCCTAAATTTTATGATTTGAATTACTTTTCTATATACAGTTAACTAGATAGGATAGTATTAAATTTCTATGATGGCCAAAATAAAGGTCCTACACATATCAAGATGAAAATGAACAGCACCATACATTTCAGCATTATTTCTCAAGAACTTGACATTAGAAAAATACTTCTATGACTACAAATATGCTTATAAAAACTATACCTAAAATATACTGGTACTATTTAAGCAGGTGGAGAAATATACATTTTTTTAATTGAAAGAAGAGATTAAATATACTCTCTCAAAGTTATGTGAATTTCCAGTCTCTTCAGCAAAATACAACCCTTTCTTATATACTTATATACACTGCCATAGAGACGATTCTGACTCATAGCAACCCCCAATGGGTTTCCAAGGCAGTAAATCTTTACAGGAGAATGACTGCCCCATCCTCCTTCCACAAGCGGCTGGTGAGTTTGAACAGTCAACCTTACGGTTAGCAGCCAAATGCCTTAGGCTTTGTGCCACCACAGCTCCTTAGACACTGAATATATATATATATCCTTACATATCTGTTTTTTAGCCAATAAAGGCTTTAAAAAAAAAAAAAAAAGTACAGACCAGTCCTACATGAAGAAGCCCTGGTGGCCCAATGCTTAGGTACTTGTTTATAAACCAAAATGTCAGCAATTCAAACCCATCAACTGTGGGAACAGAGTTTATGATTTGCTCCTAGAAAGATTTCGGCCTAGAAAACTGTATAGGGCAATTCTGCTCCATCCTACAGGGTCTAAATGAATCCGAACTGACTCAATGGTAAGTAATGACAACAGTCCCATATGATTTAAAATGTACAGAATGTGACTATAAAATACATGAAGAAAGAAAACCACTTCAACTCATTTTCTGGCTATAACGTTCCTTACCTTATTTAATACGTTGCTTACTTCACTAGCAAAATCTCTTGAACATACTTCTAAATGAAAAATTTTGCCACAGTTTGAGACACATGCTCCCAGAAGCTAAAAGCATAAAATTAGAAGAGTTAATGAATAAAAAAGCTCAATTTTGGCAGCTAATTTTGTGGTAGAACTTCATATGAAACCACTTACAGTCAGAGCTTGCATAGCAACATGAGGATCCTTATGGTTCACCCTCCTCATAATAGACCGAAGACAATCTTTAGGTCTAAAATATGAGAAATGTAACAATCAATTAGTATTACATCTAGCACTTTCGTTTAGGGTTTTGTTTTTTTTTTTTGCTTTGGTTTGTTTTTCTCCTTACCCATAGGAGGCAACAGACTACAATAAAAAAGGGAGAATATGGTATACCTGAAAGGTTAAATTTTTATCAATGACACATTTTAAAAACTGTATACAAATTAATTTCTTAAATTACAACCAGAATTAACAGTATTACTTAGCTATCATAGATTGGTATATTTCAGACTAAAGGTGGCTGGAAAAAAAAAAAATTGAAAATATAATGGTCAGCAAGACTTCCACTTCTAGACATAACAGAATAAACGGAACTAGACCTATACTCCTGTTGTAAATAATTAGAAACTGGAAAATATATTTAAAATATGTATTGCGGATTGGCCGGCAAGATGGCGGACTAGGCAGAAAGATGCACAGACCCTCTTCAACAAAGAAAAAGGAAACCAATTAACACAGACACAAAAGATAATCCCGGACCACTGAGCCTTGAAGGGAAGGATATAGAAGTGGACTAAACCTCAACTAGCAGAAAAATTTGCGTGAAAATACCAAAAAAGGAGACAGCTGGAGCTGCGGCTTGGCAGCGATCCTGAGCGATCCTGACGACACAGACAGCTTGGAGATTCACGAGTGGTGGTAGGACCTAAGAATTAACCTAAAATCAGCCCTGCTAGCCAGGAATTGCACAGAGGAATGCTCTGGTGGCTGGGGAATAAACGGAGAAGGTAAGGAGGAAGCTGGGCTGAGCTGTGGACTTTTCCTGGTCCGGAGGGTGCCGCCATTTTGAAGCTTTAAAAGCGGCTTGACTATTTGGGATATTTAAAGAGACAGTGCTCTAGCAGATTCCTGGGGCTTAAGAACATATTCTGCTTTCCAGCAACCCCAACAACACTCTGAAACCACAAGATTGAAAAGTTTTTTGATGGCTATTCAATTGTAATTTGTGTCTACCTGAGTGGGAGACAACAACAGTCCCCATAGGACACAACTACACCCACAATTCGTGCGACTTCAGCTACTGAGTGAGAGCAACTACATCCTTCTCCATCAATGGGTCAACGGTAAAAAACCACCAAGAACAGCCTGAATCACCCTTGGCTGCTCTTCACAAACAGTTAACAGAGATCTAAATACAACAA